GCCGGGTCCCCGCCCCTGTCCCCGGGCTCCGCGCGCACGCCGGGCGGGGTGCAGGGTCAGGCCGGGCGCCCCGGGCTCCGAGTCCGTTTCTTCGCGGCGGGGGGCGGGGAGGGGAACCGGGCACTTTTTTCTCTTCCCTCTCCTTTCTAGCGTTTTCTGAAAGTGTGTTAAAACGAGCAAAAGTAGCTTTTCCTTTAGACAGATTGTCGAAGGCCACCGGAACCCTTAGGGAAAGGTCGTGGTCTTGATTTCTGTCCTTTCCCTCTTCTGTCCCTGCCTATCTGTGTATCGATTGACTTCCTAATCTATTGATCATTACCTGCCCATTCCCCTTTTCATCCGTTTCCAAAACAAGAAAGTGCCCTCGGCCCTGCTTCTTCTGTGTGATGAATACTTTCGGCCCTGTGCTCAGCCCAGCAAAGGAGAAAGGGATTTACGCGTCTAAAGCCGCAGGCCTGGTTTAAGGCAGCGGTGGGCGAGCACCTCCCCCACTCGGTCTCCCCTTCCTCTGCTGCAACGTCTCGCTCCCTGGCGCTCTTATCTCCTGAAGCTGGAGGTGCATGGCTGTCGCTTTGGAAGTGTCCGGAGAACCAAACTCGCCGAACGAAGAGTTGCTGCAGAGTGGAGTAACAACTAAGTCGCAAAAATTTTTAGCTAAAAATACTCACTTTACTGACATTTTCTGCATTTTTTAAATGTGAATTGTAAAAAAACACAGAAAAGTGCAGTAGTTTCTAGCAGCCCAAATTTACAAATCTGAGAAAGTTCTCTGGATGTATTTCTTTTCTTTTTTGTTGTTGCTGTTTTGGTTTTTTGTTTGTTTGTTTGTTTGTTTGTTGCCTTTTCTTCCCCTCTGCCTGTGCCACTGTTGTCATTTTCTTCTTTTTCTATGACTTTCCTTCTAGTCCTTTACCCCCCACCCCCTCCCATCTCAACTGCTTCCCCTCCCGCCCCCAGCGCGGGTTTCCCTTTCTGAAAAATATTCTTAGGGAGCAGTTCGGTGATTGGCAGGGACCAAGGGAGAAAACAAAAGGAGAAGGAGAGAGACCCAAGCTGCCCAGAGACCTGGATAGGAGGCGGGTAGGTAAGTGTAGGTGCATCTTTGCAGATCCACTGGCGATAACGGAAGCCAGCTGAACTTTGAGTTTTTACAACCAATCTTCACAGGCCAGGTTCATTCTTACGGCTTTTGGGGGGATATGGGCTGGGGTGAAGGCAAACTTCTTAAATTATTAATAAAAAAGGGCATTCAAACAGAAAATCCTAAATGATTTTCACTTGACATAAATTTCTAGCAGTAGAGTATTTGCTTATTGTTTTTGGCATGTTGTGCATGTCAAGAATGAAAGAACTTTAAAAAAGAAAACGGGCCGGGGGGGAAGCTCCCAGTCAGTTAAAACTTAGAAGTCCTGTTAGAAAAATAAAGCCATGGGTTCTTTACTGGGAGTTACACACTCCACCGCAAATGAAACAAATGTTGGGGAGGCTAACAAAGTGGGGAAAAACGTAAAGTGAATTTCAAAGGGCTCACAGTGGAGCACAATCTGAGATCCACAGAAAAGTGGAGAGGGATAAGACAGGAATTAGGTCATCTCATCCAGACCCCAGGAAATATGTTTAGATCAAAGCCACTCTGTTAGAATAAACAAAACAGGACTCACTGGGCCCTACCAATATTTTCATCTCAGTACTAAAAGCTGCTAATCTAACCAGCTCTATTTGATGAAAGGGGGTAAAAATTACAACTGTAAAAATGACTGAGTTAAAAAAGTCCTCTCAACTGTAATGGGATGATAAAGATTTAGACTTGAGCTAAAGAGTAACAAGATCCAGGCCCAAATCAACACAAACTTCCTGGAATTTTAGCACTGAGTAAATTATCTAATCCTAACCCATTGTCCCCTTACTGCCACCCCCCACCCATGCAACTGAGTATACCAGATGATTTACATAAAAAAAAAAAATTGTTAAATTTTAACTGCAGTCAGAACACTGCAGGAGGTTGGCTTTGGGGTTCACTTATTCTACATTCCTTAAGAATCTGTCTGTTTTCTGTTTGCTCACAACCGTCACCTGCCCCCTCCACCCGCAAAGGCAGTTGTTGGGGTAGCTGCTGGCCTTACTGTGTGGATTCTCATTTAAGCCCCGTCTTAAAATATGGTCTCTTTCTCCACTGTCAAGGGAGATTGACAGAGACTGGGAGATGATGTCACAGGAGCCTGGCTCTGGATCCACACACTTCGGCAGTGGCTGATATTTTAGCAGCTAAGTCCAAGTCCTGTGTAAGGCTTTCTTTCACCACAGAGTCGATGGCCTTAAACCAACTACCAGGGAACATTCAATAGATAGAAACACCCAGAAAAGGGACAGGAAATCCCAGAGAAGGAAAATTCACCCAGGCTAAATCCAGGGTTATAGTTCCTTGCTGAGTCTGGTTTCCTCTTAACTGTTTAAACATATGATTTGGCTTCTCCCGTGTTTCTGCGTCCATCTGATCTCAAGTTGAACAAAGACTCATGGACTTCATGTCAGCTTGGCTCTGGCCCTCTGGGAAGCCAGGACGACAAAGTGGGGAATGTGAGGGGCCTTTGTAAACACCACCGGGAACAGGCCATCTTCTGTGTGGGGCCCTTCGTGGCTGACCTCACAGAGGGCAATTCCAGGATCAGAGTTTTCCTTATGTTTCATGGATGGCTTTGAAGACATACAAGTTACAAAGTTGGAAGCTGCACAGAAGTCACTCTTTCTTTGTTAGACCCAGAGCAGGACCTCATCCAGACTCTTTCTGAGCACAGCTAAACCCTGATACAGGCCACTGGTACCCCGACACCGAGAATCCAGGAGTCACATGTTTTAATCACATCTGCATTCAGTATGAGACCCGGTCACCTGTCACCCTTAATGAACTTGTAGGCATGGCAGCCCCCACTCTCGATGCAAGGGGTAGGAAGTGGGATACCTTCCTACTTAACCTGTAAATTCCTTCTGTATCCTGAATTAGGAACCGTTCCACGTGTCCCAAGCTACTTGTGATTCACAACAATCCATTTGACAGATGCCAAAACTGAGGTCTGGAGAGCAGAGGAGCAACACTTAGAAATCAGGAAATCTCTAGCTGTCACCAGCTTTGGGCGTATGGGAGTCATTGTCTGACTGTTGGTGCAGTGTTCCCATCTGTGCTGAAGAGGTTAGACCTCCAACGATTCCCAGCAGCTTCTTTTAGATTCTGGCCACTTTCACAATCTTCCGATTATTGGAGCATCTCCTGCATGCCACCACTTATTTAATAATTTAACTGAAGTGAACTGTTTCTAAAGTTTAAGTTTATTTATTCTAGAAATAATGGAAAAAAAACACTAAATTCAGTTCTCTCCAACAGTCTTCTTATCATGTGCAAGAGAAATCCTTACAGTATGTCTCACTTGGGTGACATGCCCCAAATCAAAACAGGATGAACATATTGGGCTGTTTCACTCAGCTACATCCTTTCTTCATTCTCTTCTGACCAGCTGCCTCTTTCATTACCCATGTGTGAGGTCTGTGGGTCTTAAAGAGTTTTATTGAAGCCCTCTCCCTACCTCCTTACCTGTCAACACACACCTTTGAACTGGCCTGGAGTTTTTCAGACTGGATTGTGACTCATTAATGCATTATTAGGTCAGCATAGTAGACCATAGCCAGTATTATGCTTTAGTGTAATAGGATAGACTAAGCCAGAGTGTATCACAGGTAGTAAAGGTCAGTAGAGTCTTGTTAAGCTTTTGTTTCAATTGTGCACATATGTATACATGGTCACAATGATAAGTGTGCTTCTTAGCCTGAGTTGCCATTGACAAAAGCCCTGAAAAAATACAGTTTCACTCTGTTTCCCAGCAGAAACATGGAATTAGAGGTTTTAGTGAGAGGGCCAGTAGCCGGAACTGGGGATGGATAGAGCAATAATGAAGGCGCAGGTAAACAGCACAGGTCCCCCAGTTCTCTTTGAGGTCAAGTACCTATTCTGTAGTTTTGTAGTGGCTGCTTCTGCAGAGAAAGAGAGACCAGCATCTGGGCTCCTGGTGCCAGCTTGTGTGTGTTCTCCTTTCCTGGGCTGCTTCCACATGGAGGATTTTAATAGCATTTTGTCATCAAGGGGATTTCTCCTTAAACGCACGCTAATGCAAAAGAGGAAACAAAAACTGTGAGTGGGAAAGCTTAATTACTGCAGCAAGCTGCACTGTGTCTTTAAGATCCCTCCCCTATTGGTAATTGGGCCTAGTTCTTGGGTAACTATGATAATATCCCCCCCCAAATCCTGCCATTTCCAAGCATCTTTTATCACTATCCTCACTGTGAGGTTTACCATAGCCTAATATAAAGTCCTAAGAAATCATTCCTGGAAGAGTCCCATTAGAAATACCATTCAGGGACTGGAGGTATAGCTCAGAGGTACAGAGCTTACCTACATGCACAAGGCCTTGAGTTTGATCCCCAGTATTACAAAAGAAAGAGACATGGCTCAGAAAGAAGGTTATCTGAAGACTTTGACAAAGATAACATTCGAACACATACACACACTTATCTAAATCTCCCAACTGGGCTCAGCAATGAACTTCTTTGTATATAAAGAAGACCTAGGACTTGACTTACTGAGATTTTGCCTTCTTAGTCTGTAAAAGTGACTTGCCCATGTTTATGAGTTTCTCAACCTGATTCTCAGTCCAATACTTCTTATTCAAATTATAATCAAAAGAGTTACCATAGCAGTTCTCTTTCATCCGCACTGTTTTCCTGGTAACTTGCAGGGCCTTCCCATCATGCACAGGTGACCTTCCCTGCCCTGTGACTTGGACCAAGAAACTTGCTCCACCCAGAAAAGTAAGGTAGATGCAATGTGCACCAGTTCCAAGGCTGGGTCTCCAGGTGCCTGTGCATTTCTACCTGTGCCCTCTCGCCTCTACTGCCAATGTGAGAAGCATCTGACAGCTCAGGAAAAGAATGACAGCTCCATGGAGAAGAGCTGTCCTCAGCCAAGCCCAGCCTGGGTCAGCACAGCCCCCACCAACCTGCATGAGCCCAGCCATGCAGGGCCTGCCCACAGCTCTGTAGTAGTCACTAATGGTTGTTTTAAACCATCAAGCTTCTGTGTGACTTCTTAGCATCCCTGTGGCTAAGTAACCTCATTTTGACAAGATGTATTTAACAACTTCCAAAATGTCAAACATTGGTCCAGATGCTTTACTTTAATTAGCTCATTTAATCCCTGTAACAACAACCACATGAGGTAGATACTATCATTAAACCCATCTGATGGATAAGTAAACTAAGGCACAGAGAAGTTAAATGTCTAAGGCCACACATCTGGTAAGCAACAAGAATTTGAAGCCAGACTACCTGGCTCCAGAGTGCACACAGTTCTTAATGACTATGCTATACTTTTGCTCTTTCAAAACCTCCCAAGAAATCAATTAGTAAACCCCAGGACCAGAATGAGGAAGTGAGTTGGACTCTGTGCCTTCCCCATTCTAATCTTCCCTCTCCCTACTCTTGCTAGGTCTCCAGAGATGAAAGAAGCCTTAGGGAAATGGGCAAGTGATCCATTGTCTGTACTCCCATCTGCCACGAAAAGCCCTCTGCTCTGAGTCCTTCATGCCCAAGTGCAGGGCAAATGGAAATAGCACAGAGCCACATGAATGGCGAGTTCCTGCACTAATTCCAGTACCTTCCTTCGTGGGCAAGGCATGCTTTACACATGTGCCAGTCATTATCTATCCTACAAAGATTTTCTTTCTGTTTTGTGAATAAATTGTTGTCTCTTTTCCATAGTGGAAATTATCCACCCACCTAGAAGAGAGGGTTAAGCCCTTCTCTCTTTCCCCTCTTATGGAAAAATAAACTGTTTTTCCTTTTCCTTTTTTTGCAGACTTCAAATTATAAAGTCTTCACCAAGGGTGAGAAGTAGCATCTGAAGCGTCTCTGTGAAGAAATTGGTTGCAGGTGTGAGCAGCTGGTATATTTTTGTCTCTTTGTAAAGAGAATCAATACAATTCACATTTTCCTACCTGCACAAAGCTAGACTTCAAAATTCCTGGAAAATCAAGGAATTGTTTAGAGAAGACATGGATATTTAGGACATGTGAGAGGGGTTCAGGTTTTCCTGGTATGAATGTGCTATAGGGGAGGTAAGATGGGATCAGAAGGTGGACTGGATGCTCTACCTTTGCTTCTTGGTGTCTATAACCTTTCTTCTGTTGCTATAACAGAAAGCCTGAGGCTGGTATTCTGTTATGGAGCAGTGGTTCTGGGAATGGCCCCCAGGGAAACACACATGCTAGGTAAGCATGCTACCCTGAGCCACACCCGCAGCCCCAGACTGGATATCTACAAAGGAAAGTTTATTTAGGAAAGTGGATGGGCAGGTGGATGCATGCAGAAGACAGAAAGCATGAGAGATGATCTCATTTTACACAAGCACCTTCTCTTGAGACTGAGTCCATTCGTGAGAGAAAAGCATTTTCCCTCTAACTGACCTAATCGCCTCTTTAAAACCTCATCTCTCAACACCACCACCATGACAATCAAATTTCAGCCTGAGCTTTGTGGGGGACAAAGCATATTCAACCCATAGCCATGTCCACCCTTGATGGGCTAACGTAACAATTTCACAACAGTAACAATTTCACAATGTAGCACTTCACAACAGTAGGATATCTCCCCACCCAGATTTGGAGACCAAAAGTGCTAAGTTGAGGGGTTCGTGGAGCTGCACCCTCTCTCTGGCAGAGAACATGTTCCCAGCCTTGGCATTCCTGGGTTTGCAGACTCAACTCTTTGGTCTGCACCATCACCATCACATGCGACCTCCCTGAGCATCACCATATCATCTCTGTGTCTCTTCTTCTAAGGGTTGCGTTGTCCACTCTACAGACCTCATCCTAACCTGACATCTGCAGAGGCCCTGTTTCCAAAGAAGTTCCCTGGGCAGGAGGAGGTGATCTCAGTAGCGTAGGTGACACACATTGAGGACCTGCACAGGAAGGAAGACAAGAAGCAGCCCTGGATTTTTTGAGTGGATCCCACAGCCCAGAAAAGCAGTGACTCTCAGAACTCAGAAAGTGCCAGCACCCTCCAGCCCAGACTGCGTCTGACCACTCACCCTCCTGACTGTTTCAGCTGGCTCATACAGCCTGGTTAACAAGTTTGGAAGTGTTGCCTGCATTTAAAACTTACATAAAAGTTCCAATTTCTGAATTTTTTTTCCAATGTCAGGTGATCAAGCATTCTCTCTTTCCCACATTTCAACAACTGGCTGGCACCAAGGTGTGACTGTTACCCTTCAAACCTGCTCTCCATTTTTCTGCAGTCTCCACCCAAGCAATCTCCCCACCTACCTGTCTTCTGGCTTCTGCAAGTATCTGACTTTCTGCAGGTAAGAAAAGGGGACTGAGAAAGAGGGTCCCTGCTTTAGTGAAAAGGGCAACTACAGCTTAACTCAGTAAGAAAAGGTGGGATGAAAGGTAGGCTGCAGAGCTCTTCAGGGTAAAGAGCTAGAAGGCAATTCCTGGCATGAGGATATCTCAGGAGGGCTCTATCAGGAGGGTTCAGATGGGACCCTGGGTTTCCTGTAGAAGTTAGTCCTTGCTGGGGCATTAGGGAAAGAGAGAGATCAAACAGGATGGCTTGAATCTGAACCTCAGTAGGGGAAAGAGAGTTCTGATCATCTTTTCACCTGAGCCCCTATGCTTTTTATAGCACTTGCACATTCACTGTTTGCTTTTACCCTGCCCCAGGGCAGAGCAGATGGAAACAGAGGAGGAAACTGAGGTCTAGGAAACTAAGATTGAATTCTCTCAGTGTGAGCATGGAAGAGGGTTGAGTTATCTAGACAGAACCATGTCTTCTTGTTCTCTTTTGCAATGCTAGGGATCAAAGAGCTCTTTTCCAGCCTCCAGAATCATGAGCCATGGGCATATCAGAGCTCCCCCACTACCCCAACAACTGGCTAGCCCATAATTTCTAATTAACCACTTACCCAATCCCTTCCTCCCACTCCTAATTTTCATTTTTTCCTCTGCCTTTACCTTTTTGCCTCCTTCATCAAATGACTGGCTAAAAAAAAATTGCTGTGGTTTGAGTATGGCTTATACCCATCAAAAATTCCTTCTCAGGCATGTGCCCTAGTGTAACAGTGTTGAGAGGAGATAAAGCCTTGGGAGGTGTTTGAGCCATGAGGCATCTGCCCTTATGAGGGGATTAATGTAGCTCCCTCCAGGATGCATTGTTTCATGATAGTATTTGTTGTAAAGCAAGTTCAGCTTCTCAACTTTCTTGTTTCCTTTCTCATTTTGTGAACTCTTCTTCTTTCCACCATGAGGTTCTCCCTTGATGCTGAGCAGACCTGGGCTCTTTTCCAGCCTCCAGAATCATGAGCCAAAAATAATCTCTTTCCTTTATAAATTACTCAGTCTCAGGTATGCAGTCATAGCAACAGAAAATGGACTGAGACAGTAAACTACTCAGCATTTCTCAATAGACGTGCCAGGCTGTTTGGTAAGTGTCATGATTGGCTTCTGGTGCCTAAATGGTGGAGCTCACTGTATAAGCCTGGAGTACAGAGAAGTGTTCTAGAAGCCTGCACACAGGACACAGAAGTGTAATCTCCAAAGGGAAAAGAAGCTCAGGAAAGCTGTCTCAGCTCTGGGGCTGTGCTTGGCTTGTTGAGCAGAGTTCATTCATTCATCTGGCAATTGTTCAGTGAGCACCTACTCTGCACCAGACACTGAAAGCTGGGAATCATTGACCATAGCCAAAACAAATATCTGCCCCTAGGTTGCTTAGACTCCCATGAAATGGCTTGAGAGAGTGGTTCAGGTGGGGTTAGGTGGATACTTTGCTAAGAGCTGTTACACTAGCCAAGCAGGATATTATTGTAAGAGATTGATGACAACGACGACTGCTGTGGAGAAGTTTACACTCTGCATTGTTAGGACATAGACCAGTGTCCCCAGTGAGACAAGAAACAGACCGAGACACCAAAGGCCAACCACTGAGATAAGTAAGTGATTGCATTTTCTGGGGATTTTGCTTGTAGAAGTCTGGAGGACCAGAAAGCCCTCCTGCTACAGAAGCCCTATATAGGAACAGCCCTGTTCACAACAGCAAAACCAAGACAGTAACAAGTTGTACCCCAAACCTGAGTAAAATAGCATCCACTGCTGTTCCCCATGAAGATCTCTTGCCAGGGAAGGTAGCCTGGAGGAAAAGGTGGCATCCTTCACTGTGTGTCCTCATTCATAGTGTGGTGTAAATCAGAGAATGCCTGTGGGCTGGGGGGCTTGACCATCACTAAAGAAGACCAGGCAATGATGAAGGTGGAGAAGTCAGGCTTTATTTCACCCTCAGCCCTACTGCAGCCTACTTTAACGTCCATTCATAACATCCATGCCAAGAGAATTTGGACCTTTTCTAGATTACCTTAACAGAATGTAACACTTTTGGGGAAAACACTGTGTTTATTCTTGAATTAGTGATGGCTGCTAGAAAGAATGGCTTATCAGCTTCAAAGGACAAAGAGATAAAGTTAGGAGCCATGGTCGGTTGAAAGAAACATTTGAATAGTGAGAGCTATAGAAGAAACACAAAGTTCACAGGGCAACGTGGTCTTTTCTTCTGATCACTAAAGAAGAGAAGCAAAACCTGCCCTCTAGGGCAAGTCTAATTAGCAAAAGCTGTTGATTAAAAAAGTGAAAAGCCCCAGGTTAATGAGAGGAAAAAGAGTCAGAGATATTTTAGAGTAGAGTCTATAGATACCAACACTAAGTCAAAGAGATATGCAAAGCATCATGGGTCAGAGGAACAGCACATGAATAAGACTCATGGTTATTAAAGGTTAATTATAAAGTCTTCTTCCATACTGCTTATATTTCTTTAATTTTTTACAGATTGCTGTGGTTTGGATATGGTTTGAGTGTGTCCCTCAAAGCTTCCAGTGTTAATAAGAGAGGCTATATCTTTAAGAGGTGGGGCCTAGTGGAAGATGATTAGGCCTTAGAGCCACTGCCCTCAGAAAGGATTCATGTAGTCCTGGAAGAACTGGGTTTTCTCTCCCAGAAGTGGGTTGTTATAAAGGGAGGCCACTCCACATAGTTAACCCATTCTGCTCATAGTGCTTCCCTTTCTGCTTCTCTATCATGTCTTGGCACAGCCAAGGGGACCCTTGTCCGATGTCAGTGCCATGCTGTTTGGACTTTCCAAGCATACAGTCCTTTTTGTTATTTATACATCACCCAGCATCAGGTATTGTTACAGAAGCACAAAACAGAGGAAGACACATATTTTTAAAAATATTAAATACTAGCAGAGCATACCAGTGTTATGCTTAGCTTCTTATAAAAAACCTTTCTGAAGGTAAAATAAGTTTCAGTGTCTATTGCTCAGTTGATGAGCCTTTGTAAGCCCAGGTTCAAGGCTGCAGTTCAGACATTGCAGTTCCCCCAAGAAAGCTAAATATAGGCATAACCTAGAACAGAGTTTACTCAGCCTATTGATGGTAGCTCCCTATCTCAGAGAAAAGTGACAATATAATCAATATGTTGTTGCTGTCTTATCACAGAAGTCATACTGTTTTTATCTTCTCTAAGCTTTATTATAATGTATGATGTATTGCTTTAAGTCAGCATGTCTCAAATTTTCACGTGTATTCAAACCTCTTTCATTGTTGTTGAAATGCAGATTCTGATTCCACACATCAAGGCAAGTATCTGAGATAATGCATTTCTCACAAGCTCCCAGAGACACTGCTGCGGCTGCTTTGTGTTCCACCTTCCAGGAGCAGTTCTCTGAATCAGTTCACTCACCACTCTGTCCCCACAACTCCTAGTTTTGAAAGAAAGCCAAGACCCTGGAACTGTAGCTCTCAAGATTCCCAATACATCCACATCACCTTGAAGGCTCATTTTAGAATGCAAATTCCAAGGCCCTCACCTGAAAGATTCTGATTCACCGCTGCCACTTCCATGCATGCCTAAACCTAAGCCTGGCTATAGGACAGCTGCGCCACCAGGTCCTGCCAACTCCCCAGACTGGCCTCGTGCCACACCCCTTTGCTTGCAAAAAGCCTGCTTTGATGGCCTTCTTTTTGAATGTGCTGTGCTGGTTCTCATGACTCTGTCTAGTTCTTTGGTCTGCTCAAATGTCTCTTCCTTAGAGGGACTCTCCCCAGTCACACAGTTTAAAGTAGCGCTTTCTGCCACAGTCACTGTCCCTGTGCTTTCTTGCCTTACTGTCTGGAATTATTTTGCCCTTGTATTTGTCTATTGGTTCACTGTCTGTCTTCTATGGCAGCAGGGACTCTATCTGCCTTGTTCTCCACACTAACTTCCCAGTACCTAGTACAGTGCCAGAGAAATGAGTGAATGAATGAGTGAATGAATGAATATGTAGAGGTGGAGAAAGAAGATGTAAAGTAGACAATGTCATGCATTCTGGCCTTGGAAACTTAAGATTCTAGAGTGAAGCAGAGGTGAGCGTCTCATCAACAAAATTATCCTAAGAGTAGAAAAGGAATCACCATTGTTCCTTCAGTATGTGGAGGAAAATTAAATTAGGAATAGACGATGTAGAATACAAAAGTCATTGTCCTTCCTCTGTGTTTCATTTTAAAATGATAAAAATACATGTTCCTGGTAGACAGTTGGGAAAATAGAAAAAATTTAAGTAAGAATGTATATACCATATTATCTGACCTCCTATAGGTAACCGTGATTTTCATTTTTGTGTTTTTCCTTTTAAATTATTGTAAATTCTTTCAAACATGTGTATCTTATTATGCACACATACACATATATATGGCACATATACTTTCATGTTCTGTTCTTTCATTATTTCACATGATAGGATGAGCATGTTCTTGTACCTATAAAGTGTCTTTAAGACATATTTTAATGGTTGTGTAATATGCCATTATATGATGGAAATTTATTATATATTTTACTTTCTTTAAAGTGGAATAGAAATGGCTAATAAATGACCTTTTCTTTTGATCAGAATAGTGTTTGTCAACCAAGTTGATTTTGCCCCTTTGGAGACATTTGGCTTGGACCAGAGACATTTTTGGTTATCAGAGCTTGGAGAGGCCATTGGCATATTGTAGGTAGGGGCCAGGGACTCTTCCAAGTCTCCCACAACACACAGGGCAGGCCCGACAACAAAGAATTGCCTGGCCCAAATGTCAATAATTCTGAGGTTGAGAAATTTGCAATTCAAGCCAGTGTCAGGGTTAATATTCAACATCCACTTAAAATTGAAATTTTCATTCTGCCATTAAAGTATAGACTTTGCCCTCAGATCCTGCCTTAGGATAATGTCTCAGTTAATTAGAACTTTAGTTACTAGAGTCTACAACAACTGATATTTTATTTTCATAATTCTCATTTTACTAGAAATTTTTAAAAAAAACAATAAAAAATGAAAGTTGAGTTTGCATTTTTATATTTATTTACTTACTTATTTTGCACAGCTGGTGCCCAAACCCAGGGCCACTTGGTGCTAGCCAAGCTCTGTACCACTGAGCCACATAGCCAGCCCAAGGTTGTAGTTTAAAAATGAGGTTCTAGGGATGAACATAATGGCTCTGGAGTTCATCCATACTTGAGACCATACTTTCCTATATTCAAACACCAAGACACAGAGAGCTCAGGGCAGTCTCAGGCTGTCACTTGAGCCCAGTAGAAAACACTTCTGTAAGGCAGAGAAGTGATTCAGTCATTTTAGAAATAGACATCACAAAAGTCTTTAAAAGGGGGTTTTGAGGAGTACTTTGTTAAATTCAGACATTTAAAATTCTATTCCCTGAACCTTTTTCTGAATGGAACTTTTACTCTTCTATGCCTTTTGCAATATGTGAATTTGCTGGGGGAATTCCACATTTGGTAAACAAAGTCATTGAAACCACCTTCCTCTGTTAAGAAATGTGAACATCCCATTTATCTTAGATTTAGATCTTTGAGGCTTTACCTGACCTTTGCATGGAGATAATTGGTACAGAACAATATGTTAGGGTATGCCTCCATAGGGAATCCAAATACCATTGGTTTGTTCTAGAACAAAGAGGACGTTTGCTATTCCTTTTCTTCTGTCCAGATTCTTACTGGGGTTGATTGTGAATAGAAAGGAGTTTAACTTGGAAATATTTGGAATTGCATTTGAGATATTTAAAAGAATAAACAAAAGGCCTTCCCAAGGAGGTGCTAGATAAAAGTTATCAAACTCAGCAGAATCAGGAATCACTTTCTGAGCCATAACAATGGCAATGCAATTCTTGTTAACATAGGATCAGAGCTGAGAGCCTGCAAGGATGGACTGAGGTCAGTGCTTCACACCTTGAGATTGATGTGTGCCTCTGAGGGTTGCATTTGTTGGCAACTGTGCCTTCTGCAGTATTTTATGTGGCTGATCTTCAAGGCTTTGGACCTGCTATGAAAGGTCAGTGGAGTCTCCCTTGCGGTCCAATCATCTTCTGAGAGGAAGCCATCTTCCCTTCTTTTCTCCTCTCCCCAGGATTGGATGAAGACAAGAAGCATTTCTTGGCTCTCATCGCTACATCAGCTAACAACACAGACTGTATCATTTGGGAGACCTGCAAGAAGAAGGCAGGGGGTCACAAAAGAGAGACCCATAGGAAGACAATTAAAAATAAGCAATCATGTGCTCAGAGAGAATATGCTGGCTATAAAATAAGTGCAGGAAGAAAAGAGATGGATGGGAAGTCAATTCTTAGGTCTCTCTCTTTTGGGTGATATGCAGTCTTTCTTTTTTGCCTTCCGCTCTCAGTTGGCAACCTTTGGTTTCTAAATGTGCACTTCTTTGTAATTTTCCACTAAAATACTTATCAGCTGCAGTGTATGATATACACAATGCTTTCAAGATTTGTAAGGCTGAAGAAAGAAAAGTGCATTGCTTACTGGAAAGATACAGTATATACATCTGCAGACACAGATGTACCCAAATATGTGGGTGGTGGCACAGAACATAGGCCCTCCAGATACACACACACACACACACACACACACACACCTGGAGATGTCTATAAACTTAGGCAATTTTCCAAAAAGGATTTGCTCATATTCAACTGAATCAAATAGTTTGGACTGGAGTGGTGTAGGTGATAAAAAATGGGAAGTAGAAGAGAATAAAGTTCAAAATGTGGACAAATGTCTTTCCCAATGCAGAATCCCTCCACATAGTGACTCCATCTCAATAAACCCAGACTAAATTATTACTTCAATTTAGTCTCTAATTCTGCACATACTTAGACCACATCTACCTGCCCAGCAGATACCATGACAACACTCCTGAATATGATACTGGTTTTGCCCTCAAGAATTAGGTCTAAGTGGAGCATGTGACAATTTTACAAATAGTTGTTGCATAAATCATCAAGTACTGCTTCAAACTGACTTTCAGATTCTAAACCAGACTGTCAGAAGTGGCACCTAGTATTCCTTTCAAATATTTCCAGTCAGTGCAGCTGGACCTTCTAGTAGGCCACACAGTCCACACTGTGGTAAACACTCTACTTATCAATGGTCATGTGATAGAAAATGTTAGTTGGATTCTTTGTTAAAACAAAGGGAGCTTCCTTGTAAGTGGGGTTGATAGTAATTTGATTGGAGGATTTTTAGGCCCAGAGTAATTTTCTTTGTTCTTTGATACTAAAAGAGACTGCAGCTTAGAAAGTGTGAGTAAACTAACCAAGGTCACACAGTTAGCAGATTTTTGTTTTTCCACCTTCTTCCTGTTCTGCTGTTTCATTCATAATATCACTCATGCCTAGACATCAAGTAAAACAGGAAACTTGGCTGTGTTGGCTTTGGGTGTCTAACGATACCTTCATCCAGGCAGGAAAGACAGAAGATTCCACTGAGATAAACCATGTATAGTCAATAGCTGAATGTCTGCTTTATAACAGAGTTCAATAAACCTGGATTACCATTTTCATCTTCATGGTCACTATTACTGTCATCCTTGTATGTTTTGCTTTAAAGAAATCCAATCTATGAAAGCATCTACTTCAAAAACTGGTAAATTCATTCCTCAGAAAGATTTTTCACTTTACAAAGGCATCTTCTATCGTTTTCATTTAAGTTTTGATCTACCCTCCAGAAAATTTATACAAATGGAATTCATTATTATGTAAAGGAAGATATATTTGCTCTCAATTTAACTACATATTTGCATATAACATAAGAAATGTTAATTAGATTTTCATTTCCACTGGTCTACATGACAGTGATAATCAAAGATGTCCATAAAGCTTGAAAAGAGATATTATTAGTTGTTTTTATAACTGAAGATTTTCTTGACCACAATACTTTATGGACACCCTGTAGATTATAAACATAGTAAGCAAGAATAAATTATTTGCCATTTTGGAGGAATTCCTAATGTTTTGCAAGCTTGGTTTTAAAAAAACCCATATATTTTATGATGGAATCTGTGTTTATAAACAAAACTCCAAAAATTTACAGAGAAAGAAATCATTTTGACTTTCTTACTCAATGTTGGTTCCATAAACCATGACTAAATTATGGCAAATCTTAGCTCAAAGGATGATTGAGTTATTTTGTTTGAGTTAGTTTAATATGTTTGGGGCTAAGCAATTTTTTTTTCATTTCACTAAATTTTTAACTCCTCTGAACTTTCCAAATTAAATCAGCAGGGCTAATTTTTTATAGGCACTTCTGAGTTCTACAGTGTGGAGAATTTTGTTTCCCCAAGTTTTTTCTTTTAGTCTACTTCCTTGGATACATGCTGGAAATGAAAATAAATCATTTAACTTGTAAAACACATTTTTAATTTAAAAATCTAAAAGAGAAACATAGAATGGGTTACTTTCTAGCTTGGCTCTTAAAACATCCAGGGGATTATCTGCAGGTATTGAGCCTTCTGGAAATGTGGGGCTATGCCTTAGTTTTCTAGGTCCAAATTAAACTAGGTTCTGCTATGATAAAATCAGGGATTAGGTGACCATCTGCCTAGTGAATAAGTGGCCAGCATTGGCCTGACTCAGCTAATTGTGCATAAATGGGATTATGTAGCAGGAATGGCACTCCCCTCTCTAAACAAAGGACATCAGGTGACCACTGTGCTTTCTTGGGCTGTTTCAGGTAACCACTGTTCTTTCCTGGGCAGTGACAGCAGAAACTGAGGTCATTGCAAATTTGTATTAACAAGCAGCCAAGATGGTAGAAGTGACCAATGCTGGGATGAGCATGAGACAACAGGTGAGGGGGAGGCAGAAAATAAGAACAAGATCAAGTGGGAAACACCAAGTACTGGAAAAATTAGTCACTCAGTCTTTAGGTCCTCAGATATGGTCATTTTAGTGTCCAGCTCCTTTATTTGTATTGCAGAGTCCAAAATAATTCTGCATTAATTCTGAAATGAATTAGTTCAGATACTATATAGGCCAGGCAGGAGTAGGGAGAGCCAACCCTCAGCAAGCTGGTGACCAGTTTGTGTGTGGGAATGGCACTCTCAGGCAGGGTCTGAAGGGAGACCATGCTCAGAGCGTTCTGGAGAAAGGACCCAGAGCTGTAACAGCAGCAGCAGCAGCACCAGCACCAGCAGCACACTAGGGACAATGGCAGTCAGATGGAAGGCTGGAATCAAGACCCTGTTACACAGCCATGAGAACAAAGGAAGAACATGAGGTCTCAGCCCACCCCTTTCCCCTTCTCCTGGACAGAATGTAAGGGCATTGAGGTTGAAACAAAACAGCAGCACTGTGAAATCCAATGAGAAACAATGTTTAGGTGCAGCCTTAACCCCAGGATTTCTCAACTTCAACACCACTGTCATTGGACTTGCTCAATTCTTTGCTGCAGGGACTGTCCTGTGCATCTGTTAGTAGGATCCTTGGCTTCTCTCCACTAGTTGCTTGTCGTACCGTGTCTTCTTCTTCTCCACCACCCAGGTAGTGACAACCAAAAATATCTGCAGACCTTGCCAAATGTCCCTGGGGAGGGGAAAGGAGCTAAATTGCCCCAGGTTGAAACTCAGTTTGGGGCTTTCCTGCTCTGCTTTGCTGTACCTATAAGAGGCAACTGCAGTCTGTCCCAACATTTGGATTATCTGGAGAGCTGTGACTTCATGAGCCTATCTGTGTGTGTGCATCTGTGTGTGGGTGAAGGCTTGCTTGTGTGTGAATGCATGTGTGCATGAGTGCATGTGTGTGGGTGGGTACACATGTTTACAAGTGACTGCATCAGTAAAATGACCAATGGAGGGTGTCTTAGGTACTTTTCTTGTTGCTGAGACAAACTACCTAACACCCAAAGTTAAAGGAATAAAGGTTTATTTGGCTTGCAGTTCATAAATTTCAGTCCATAATCAGCTGGCTCTAAGGCAGGGTGGCACAGGGAAGAGGGGCAACAGTTCAGAGTGAGTAGAAGGTAGCAAAAGCAACAAAGGGCCTTAACAGCATCTTTCTGCCCCTTTTATCTTATCCAGACTACTTACGGTGAGTAACACTCACATCCTTAGTCCTACTGCCCTTGATTCTAGCATCCTAGCATTGCACCATGAATTAATTCCACAGTCACACACTCTAGATCCAGCCAACTCCAAAAAAGCCCCACCTATGACCACCCCATCTATGCCCATATGAGGCTTCAGGGGGACATCTAGACACAAGCCATAACATTCTTCCCCTGGCCCCTTAAAGACTCATGTATATCCCTTTTGCAAAAGGCAGTTAGTCCATCTTCAAAAGTTATCAAAGTCCTAAGAGTTCCAGCATTGCTGAAAAGTCCAAGTCCAAAGTCTCCTCTGAGATTTAAGGCAAACTCTCAGCTGCAAACCCCTGTACAATGAAAAGAAGGTTAAACACTTCCAACATTCAATGGCACAAGAAAGACATACCATTCCAAAAGTTACAAACAGGGGGATACAAAGGAATGGGACCAAAGCAAGTCCAAAATTCACCAGGCCAAACATTATATCCCACAGTTCCACTTCCAGCATCCCCAGCTATCTGTGGCAAGATGTGAACTCTAAAGGGCTTGGGTAGTTCCACTCCTGTAGCACTTGTGGCAGTTGTGGCTCCCACGGCTTCTTTCTTTTGCTGTTTTTGTTCACTCTTTGCAGTTTTCCTTGATTGATGCATATTCCTGGCTTCTTCCCTCTTGGGTCTCCACTGCACCTTTGGCTTCAGCCACAGCTTCATATACTGCCCTCTCAGCAGCACACTGCCTGGCCTCCCTTCTTCTAAATCTGGGTGGAAGCCTTCCTGACTCCACTCTCAGTACCAAAATCTGTACCAGTCAGTGTTTGTTAGAAAAATAGATATAACACAAGATATATAAATATATAAGAATTTACAAAATTGGCTTACAGTGGTCACCCATATAGTCAGATGAGGAAGAGTCCAGAGGATCTGTCTGCACACTGGAGACTGAAGGATTCAGTCAAAGGCCTGGAGCTCACTGTAGTGTACACATGAGTCCATATCAGGATGCCAGTGGGTCTGCAATGGAAGGCTAAAGAGTCTACACCAGAAGGCTGAAAGAGCTGTGCTGGAAGCAGAAGAGTCTGCACTGGAAGCCAGATGATGTCCAAGGTGATGGTGAAGACTGGAGCTTCTCTGAAGAAACAAGCAGATCCATCCTTCTTCATTTTCCCTTTATACCATCCAGGTGACAAAATGCCCTAGGGTGGGTCTTCCAAGCTTCTCTTACTCAAATTGACACAATCAGTCAACCTTCACAGAAGGTGTTCCTGGAGCCAATCAGTTCTTGTTTCCAAGTCAGTGCAAATGTACAGTGCAAAAGCCACACTTGCAGCCTGGATGTGGACTGCAGCATTGGCTATCTGAAGGCATAAGAGGCACAACTGTAGCTCAGATGGGAACTAGGAAAGCTGACCACTCCCAAACCTCTCTAGTCATCTCACATCTATGATGTGACCAGGTTGCATCCTTTGGGGTCACACAGGGAAGACAGCCAAACAAAGCTGCAGCCCTTGGGGGACTCACATCCCAGAAGGTGGAGGCAGCATGCACAGGCATGGAGAAGGGTTTTCAGAGGGCCTGGGCTTCCTCTGGGTGGTACAGCCCCAGAAGCTCTGAGGCCCCAGCTCTCAAGTCCCCACCCTTTCAGCCCTCCCTGAGAGCTGGAAGGGGACCTTGGCAAACGAGTTTGTCTTTTTTTTAATGAAATTTCCAAAAGTTACATGGTTTTTCTTCCCATTGCATAAGTTTCCAGTCCCACTAAACCTGGGTCTGTCCTTGATTTTTGGTTTTCTGTACATTACAGAATCAGTAGTGTATCTTTCAAAAGATATCAGGAAGTAGAAAGAAAAAAATGCATCCAGTTTTAATTCACTGACAGTATAGCAAAAGAAAACAATATCTATTTCAAATAGAAAGCAAGCGGAAAAATCGCATCTCAGCCCTTGCACTGAGAGGTCCCCAGGGTGCTGTGTCCAGGGCCTGAGTCCTCCTAGGCACGCTCCAGGGTAAAGGAAGCACGAAACCTCGGCAGAGGGGTGGGGCGAGAAGCCGAGCTCTCTCCTTAGAAGAGGCTGAGCAGCTGGCCAAAGCCCCTTTATAGAAACTGGCGGTGTTGTTGCTCTGGGAGGGAGGCTCCAGCCCCGAGCTCTGGGCCTGCCCCCGGCTTTCTCCCGGCCATTGTGAGCCCGTATTGATCAGGCCGGGAAGCAATAGGGCTGCGGCAGCTGAAGCTCTGGAGTGAGCAGCATTGATCTGACCCCCTCCCCGGGTTATTTATAGGATGCGCCGGCCTGGCGAGTAACCGGGGAGAGCTTGTTTAACGAGGGTTCGGGGCGCTCTTCACTAGCTGGTTAACTTTAAGTATTGGAAATGGAATTGATGCGCACATAATAATATTATGATTCATACAAACCACTTCTCAGGCAACTCAATATATTTCATTACCTCCTTTCTAGCAAATGTATTGATTTCTGTT